ATCGAAATTTACTATTAAATCCGTTATTCGAGTGCTTTGTATGCCACAGGTCAAACTCAAGTAAAACAATAATTGCTTACGAAAAATGTCAGAAACGGTTAGAAACGGTACATTTGATAAAGACACGGTGTTGTCATGTCATAATATATAATTTCGTGAAAATCTGAACTTTTAGTTCTAATTTATTTTGCTAAAATTTTGTGTAGAATTCAAAAATGAGGTAATATACCAGGCTTTCCATTTAAAATAAGAAAGTTGATGCTGGCCCACGAAAAATGATACACCCTGTATATACAACATTAAAATAAATTGAAGGTCTGTAATACCCCAATTAACTTTTGTATTTAACTTTTTGCTCCATTCCCTATAGTTTCTGAGATAAGGTAGTGTCCCAAGATGAACGGCCCACCCTATGCACTGATTAAAGCAGTTCTTATCGTATCAACGAAAACAGGTCATACTTTAAAATAAAATAAATATAGAAAACTCATCAATATTAAGGTGAGAGGGAATGTGGTTGCGTATATTTTGACATTTTACCCAAATTGCAACTATTTTGGAAGCACAGTCATTGTCTGACAATCGTTTGAGCCAATCGATATGAGTATCTTGGCGAAAACGGAAAAAATCTAGTATCAAACTGTTAGTTGATATTTATTTTTAAAAGGTAATACGCCTGCGGCAAATCAAGACACACCTCGGCGGTTGCCACCTTGAAAATGCACAAACTACGGTTTCAACTACTTGACTATTTCCCATTACTCACCAGACCTAGTCCCAGGCGACATTTTGTTGCTTCTTTTAAAAATAGCACTCGAAGCACAGACATTTTCGTCAAATGAAGAATCAATCTTCATGCACAATTATGTTGAAGACGAAAATGCCGATTAATATGTAGAAACATAAATATAAATTAAACAAAAAGAACGTTAGGTCGAAAACTTTTCAGTCCACACTCTTACGCATTACTCTCGCTCTCAATGCTTAAATGGCAAGACGGGTCAGGGGCAACAGCTGAATCTAACAAAACCCGTTGGGCTGCAGAAATCACTTTAAGTATCAGTCTTCTATTCTCCAAGTCTTTTATTTGGTGTCTCCGGTATTTAGACAGGAGAACTTTCTAAAAAAGATTTCTTGGTACCCGCCCCAGACAGAATTTAGTATTTTGAAAGTGTTCAAATTAAAAATAACCTGGTAAATTAAGATTTCTCGATAATTCTGATCGCCGTGAATACAACAGATAGAGGATCTTTTCCGTGAGACGGTGTGCAATTCATGACGCTTACAAGTGATTACCTTTTTCCTGTTTTTTACAGTTGGTTTTAAAATTGTGACCAACCCAACAACGAATACCTGAACTTCATTTGTTAAACTTTTAAAATAATTTAAAATCAATAATTTATTCTCTGCTAACTGCCCTCCTGTTAAGTTTAATTTAATTATTACTATTTTCTCATCGTTTGTTTTCCATATTATTTTGATTCTTTGTTTTTATAAGAAAAAGAAAAAGAAATGCTAATTTACTTTGTTTCATCTTTTTAATTTAAAAATAACAAACCAATCACGTTGCCTTATATATAAGTACTCGTCTAATATTAATTAATGTTCCTGCTTACTTTGTACTAATAGGAACACATTGTCATATATTTTCAATCTATGTAGTACAATTTATTTCCAGGTACCTCTTTTTCTATGTATGTTAGTGCTTGCAGAATAATTACATTTCTGTCCTTACAGATGCATTGCAATTTTTATTTACTTTTACTATTATTAAGCTCTAATTTTAGTTACCTTTTTGAAAAACTGTAGAAGTCTTACTCTAGTTTTTGAATTTCCTGTCCCAGAATGAACAATAAACTATTTATTAAATTAGGCATTAAATAAATATACAGGCAAAATGTGATTTTCCCAACGAGATTAGATACTATTTTACCTTAGAAACTTAAACTTATAGCCTTAAAAATAAACAGTTATCGCGAAAGTTTGTTAAAACGCAATACTTATAGTTTGATACTACCGTCTGCAATCGTATTCGGACCCTGGGCGAGACTGACGTCGAAGTCTACTCCAGTAGCACCAAGCAAGGGCTTTCATATATGAAGTTCCGCATGCACATAATTATAGTATGTATTGTGAAGCCACGAACTTGACCGGAAAGTGGCTTTTAGTCGGCAAGCCACATACGACGACGTTCAGTAACAAAAACGGTATACTGAAAATGGAATTGCTGTTCGGTACTTTACCGGCAAGTATGCCAAAATGTCAGCAAATGCTTACAGAATTCTGCTATTTATTCTCACACATTAATCATTAATCATAAAATTTCAATACTTCCTCTTAATTGGAAGTTAGAACCATATTTTAAAGTCAGTACGCAAACGGTTTAGAGATCCTTGTTAAAGGAATACTTGTATTTTCTTATAAACAATAAAAAGTAAATTGAGTTCCCTTCTGAAGCGTTCCTTTTTTTTCCAAAATTATTATAGTTATTGGGTAAAGGTTTGCTTTTCTACTTTTGCTACCTAAGAAAGCCCTATTTAATAGAATCTCAAAAACGAAATGGATTTTTCATATCAGAGGTCCAAAAGTGGCAAAATGGTTCCAAATGGCATCAAATCCTATCTTTTGATCCTGCAGAAAGTACATGACAGATGCAAAATCACTATCAGCAACGCATCGTTCCACGTGAGCAGTTAAACAGAACGTAATAAGAAAATTAATAAACGTACCGTATCGAGCCAATTTTCATACAACAGCCTGATTTCGTAGCGGTATATATAAATATGCATATAGAATAAAATGTAGAATAGAATCAAATGGGTACAAACACACATTAGGATTATAATCAAGAAGTTTTCTTTGTTCTTAATATCTCTTAAAATTTATAATAAAAAATAAAAAATGAAACGTTTCGGGACTTTTCGACGCCATGTATCATATTAGGTGCTTTAGTCTAGATCAACATTTATATTTTATGAAAAATATCATCTAGTTTTAGACTATACACAACTTTCCACAAAAGCCATAAAACAAATTCTTCTAATTCTAACTTAAATATAAATGTAAATATAATATATACGAGGTTAGCGCCAAAATTTCCCTGCCGGACATAGATGCAACTCAAGTATCACGATAAAACTTGGTCTTCTTAGGCTGCGAAGAAAAATCTTGCAGTCTTGCGTCAAATAGTTTTGTATTGACAGCATTTTAAACAAGATGTGTCCGTAAAAATGTCGCAAATAACGCAAATTGAGTATAGAGCAGTCATAAAGTTTTTGACAAAAGAAGGGTTAGCACCTAAAATTATTAAAGAAAGGCTGGATGGTGTGTACGGCCAAAGTTTTCCTTCGTATTCTGTAGTGAAAGAATGGGCAAAACGTTTTCGAATGGAGTCTCTTGAAGATTATTCAAGAACTGGTCGACCAGTGGAGGTCATAACGGAAGATATTGTTGCGATTGTGGAAGAGGTGGTATTGAGTGATCGACGTTTAAAGGTCAAGGAAATCTCAGAAATTACTAAGCTTTCTGATACATGTGTTCGTCGAATCCTGCATGATCATTTAGGTATGCCTAAGGTTAGTGCAAGATGGGTTCCTAAAAACCTTTCGGCTATTCAAAAACGACGCTGTGTCGAGTGTACGCGGTCGTTTTTGGAACTCTGTGGATCGGAACCGAAGCCTGTGATAGAAACTATTGTGACGGGAGATGAAACTATGTTTCTCTATTATGAGCCTCTATCGAAAAAAGAATCAATAGAGTGGCGTCGTAAGGGTGAAGCACCTCCAAGAAAATTCAGAGTCTGCCAGTCAACAAAAAAGGTGATGGCCACGATCTTTTGAGATTATGAAGGAATTCTTTTGATAGATTTTAAAGAAACTAATACCACTGTCAATGATAAATATTACGAAACATTATTACATAAATTACATACATTACATTTTAGAGTGTGAGTTCCAACAGATAGATCATCCTCCCTATAGTCCAGATATGGTCCCCAGCGACTATTATTTGTTTGGATATTTGAAAAAGGACTTACGTGGACGGCGGTTTAACTACGAAGTTGAGTTAAAAGAGGCTGTTTTAGCTCACTTTGCAGACAATCCAAAAGAATATATTTTTTGAAGAAGTTGAGTTGTTAATAAAGAGATGTAATAAGTGTATTGAAGTTAAGGGGCATTATATTGAAAAATAATAAAAAATTGTTACTCTACTTTGTTTCTTTCATATTCAGGCCGGGAAATTTTGGCGCTGCCCTCGTATATTATAAAATTCGGTCCATGGAAATGGTAGTAGCGAAGAGAAATTGTCGAATTGATAAAGAATCATTTTGTCGGTTCCTAAAATAATCGACCTACAGATGTACCGTGCGCCCAATTATAACTGGGCACCACATATCTATTAATTAATAGAATTGCCCTACTACGGTAAAAATTGATTTCGTTTTCCCGGAACATTTCACAAGATCCAGGAATATTTTGAGGCCCCAAAAATACCGCACTTATTGACGATCTGTCAGCGGCCACGCGCAATTTTTTTTTCGTAGTTGCTTCATAAGTTTCTGCATTATCGGCAGGGCCTCTATTATCTCTAGTAGCTATATGGTCAGCAGCATAGGTAAATGTTATTAATTTTGCAAAAACAGTTATGCTTTATAAAAAATTCTGCATGGTCTAAGCCTAAAATAAAACCTTAATACCAGGTACTAATTTTTTAAAGCCCTAGTAGTTGAGGTCTTGAAAATTATTAAAGATCCGTTTTGTCCGTTTTTCGAGAACCGTAAAGCGTTTGAAACGACGCCATGAACCATGAACGAAATTTCATAAAGAGTAAGTTTTCCATAAGGTTCCAGCATAATGGACAAACTGTATAATAGCGGGTTTTCTTGTGGTATAATAAAATTGCAATGGAAAAACCATCCCAATAGAGAATCGTAGCCGTTTTATAGAATTTAAAATCTTCAATGCTAAGGGAAACGATGAAAATATACTATTCAAACTTACCACAAAAAAAACGGAAGCCAACATAGTATAAAAACGCCCATAATGATGCCCAAAGTCCTCGCCGCTTTGTGTTCCGCACGCCAACTTTTCGATTGTTGTCGGATTGTCGTTCCTGAAAAAAAAACGAATTAATTTTTCCCGCTTTCAACTGAGTTGCAACGGTCAATGGAAAGCCATTATTGCCGACTGACTTGCAATGATCCATTTGGTTTATCAGAATCCATTATGGTTGTACAATGGACTACCGAATAGTTTGTTTATTCATTTAACCTGCAAAGTGGCGTTGACAGAGTTTTTACGGAAACTCACCCAAAAGGAAAATCGCGACAAGTCGACTTTTATCCGTCGCTGAATGACCTGAAATATATCCCGTAGTCAATTTATTAGCACCTTATCAGAAAGAAGAATAACCTATTAAGAAAGGGTTTGCGGGTTAGTGCCTTTGTGGAGTATAAAAACGAACTGGGTTTGATTTTGAGTTGATGAAAAAAAAATTTTTTTTTCTATCTCTCCTTATTTCATATGATTTCAGAAGACGCATGTTTTTAGCTAGCTTAATTAAAATCGTTCCAGCATATTATTTCAATAAATAGTATTAGAAGAATCTAAAAATATTTTAGAAATGCGAAATCTTTAAAGAAAAGCCGGATAATTTTGGTAGAATATGAACCAAATTTTACAGCAGCACTAATCTCATCTCTTTTAGATAATGAACCCATGGTTCTAGTTTAATTGCAAGTAGCCCTATACATACTTTCAAATTGTTCAAATTATCAACGCTTTTTATAAAATATAAAAAAGTTAAGATTGTGATTCATTGTTCAAACTAAAGCGTAGTTTATTATTTACGACACAAATGCGAAAAACTTAAGATTGTGATTCCTTGTTCAAACTAAAACGTAGTCTATTATTTACCATTATTTTTTATCTTAAAAACGAAAAGATGAACAATAAATTCTTATAGAAATATTAGGCTATGATAGAAACACACTTTGTGCATATTTTTCTACTTCTTTACAAAGAATGACATAAATTTTAATATCCAGGTTTATTTAGAAAATTCTAGTCTCTTGTATTTTTTTACCATTTTCGAATAAAAATATAAAATGCAAATCATTGCATATCGAAAAAAAGAAATTGTTCAAAAATATAGGAGAGGTTTGATTCAATACTCTACTCATTCTAATTTTTTATTTATATCACATATAATATTATTTTTGTATTATATATTAATTTTATGTCATATTTATGTTGCAAGATTTCTCTAATAGTTGCCTTTACACGCAGCGCTTATCTAAGAAACTATCCCTTAAATTTTTCATACTTGTTTTGCATCACCTCATATACAAAATGAAAGGTAAAGTGCAATTTCCAGCGGACTCGGCAAAATAAATTTATCTGCCTATCCGACATTTTATTATTTCAGACGGCATTCTCAGGGAACAACTTTGAAGTGCAAATAAAGTCTACAAATAAAACGAAAGAAGTGTTCTCGGGCCTCGCGATACGGTTTATAAACTTTGATTTTCATTTCCCTCTTTGCCCTTTTTATATTTCGCAAAAAAACACAGGAAGGCGGATGTGTTTGTCATATAAAATAGAGCTTTTTGGGTCGACGACGTTCACCCTTATCCATATCTTGTCAATTTCGGTTTAAGACCATTATTCCGTTTCATCGGCTCCGAGGAAAATATATTTCCATTGTTTGCAAAACGGCGTTCATTATTAAAAAACATTTCTCTTGTTTGATTTTACGATACGTCAATAAGCCGTCGGCAGCTGTCGGCTGCAAAAATTAAATTTAATATGTCGAATTTTTTAGATATGCCACCGTTCTCATTATTACAGCTGTTTGTTAATTATACCACCACATTTTTGCATGCACCATGCATATTGTTTATTTGAATATTAAATTGTTGATAGTTAACGAGCAAATAGAATGAATGACCTTTCATCTAAAAAGAAAGTAAAACTCATATGCAACCAACATCAGAGCCACTGTTATAACAAAACATATTAATTTATTAATATATCTTTGAAAACCAACGAAATCACTGTCTTCCATTAACTAATAATTAATTTGCTAACTAAATGTTTTCTTCGTAGTTAGCTTTTACCGTCAAACATCAACTGTCAGAATCGAAGGGTCCGCATCGTGAGTGTTTAACGAAGCGCTCGAAAATATAATTACAAATAATCTTCGTTGCATAGCAGCATGCCAAAACTTCAAACTCCAATGGATCTCATCTTGGGATATATTCGTACATGATTCTTGAATATTCTCAAAGACACAAAGACATGCCACCCTAAAGTTTTATGGAGAAATCATTAAACAGGTGTCATCTCTAAAAAACCTCGACACAATAGTGAATAAACAATTTGACTCGAAACTCTAGAATCAGATCAAGATGACCGAGCAAGTAAGGAAATCTCTGAACAAGATGGGCACTTCTGATATATCGAAATCTCTTTGAACTCCGAACCACAATACTTCGCTGCATCATTTTCCCAGTTCTTTTGTATGGGAGAGTTGGACTATGGATGCAGCCACAGAAAAGAGAACTGCTGCGAATATTTTGGACGGAACATATGGGTAAACATGAAGAACTCCCAATGACAATCAAAGAAAGAAAACTACAGTACCTAATACACATCCCTATGATATGTGAGTAATGTAAGATCGGAGGAAATAGTCTTTCAGAGCACTAATGACACAAGACGATTTCGGAAAAATCCCCTAACAAACGCAAACTACAGGAAGAGAACATTCAAGACGGAACGAATTATTGAGGCTTCCTAAATCTATTCCAGGTTTAAAAAGCATGAATTTAAAGCATTTCCTAGCCGCCGTTTTTTGGAATTTTATAAATAACCTATCTAGTCTTCAGAAAGCATATAATATATTCTATCCAAGGGAGCAATTCGACATTGACAGCTTGAGAACGTATTTCATAGATATGACACACGTTAATGTCTTCCGGAGTGAAAAGATTGTTATTCGTATATTTAATTCCAAAAATATATAGTTTCCCTCCTAAATACTATTAATTAGTTTAATTAGTCACACCACAAAGAAGTAGAATTGTACAACTCTTGTGATAATTTGTGAATTGCCCTGTTAAACTCTATTTTTGGATTTTAAATTTTCTGTTTCCGTCAAATATGTAAATTAACTTTAATAATTTTAATAGCGTCTATCATCTCCGTTGATTTATCCAGTGCAAGCAGCCGTCTTTTGAATTCTTAAAAACGCTTGGTTAAAATACAGTTTTTTCCAATTGTTAATGGTACTTGTGACTTTTTGATTGCTCGTACAAATCTGTTTTTGTGTTAAGGAAAGAAATCATTGTCTACAACTTAATAAGATGAACAAGGTATTCCTATTATTATACAGACTCTGAGGGTAGCTAATACGAAACAATGTTGCCAGTTGGCTTGGCACAAGCATCCAATTTCGATGTTTGGTTTAAATTAAATGTACCGATCCAGAGCAATTACTGTGGCGTCTGCAGCCGGTACATCTACAGGGATAATTAAATACCTGTCGATGCACGTGTATGATACTACATTTAGCTAGCGTTATTAGAAAATCGTGGTCTAATATAAGCGAGAAAGTTTCTCAGCAACTTTATAATATCCCCAATTAGGGATCTAAAATTTACTTACAAAACTTCATCAACCTTACTTTCGCACCAAATTTGTGGAGTAGTTTACTTAACGGGTATCGCTAGTGCTTCGCTATATTTATGATCAGATGAAAACAAAAATCAATTTTAAGCTTTCAGCACCAAATAAGACATAAATGCATTTGAGCAAGGTTTAAAAAGAACCATAAAAATAACACAAATTGGTCGGTTAATATCTTACACTTTATAATTAATATCTGGAAAACATTAGCGGTTTTGCAATGATCTTAGTTAATAGGTGTGTGCAGCTTGCCAAACCACCCACAAATCATTAGGGCAAAATTGCACTCGATATCTCCACTTTCCCATTAAAACCAAAACACGCAGGACAAACACAATTGAAATGCAAATAGATTCAAAAGAAAATTGAACATTCACTAAATTGGCAAAATCAGCAGATTGTTGCCCGAAAGCAAACAATAGGGTCGGGGATCCGCCCCCCACCCTCCGATGAAGTTTCTCGAAACATGATACACTATGCGTCATTCTTTTTTCTCGCCGGATGATTATCCTCTTGGCCGCCATTAATCTCAGAATTTTTTCTCTGATCGTCATTAATCTTTTTTTAAGGCTTTAATGTCTTAGAGCGAATTCCATTAATATTGATCCTCGGAAAAGTTTTTAAAATATTAAAAAAATAAGGTATTGCGATCGTCATATATTTTTCGTTCCTGAATTTATTTTCTTTGCATCAGCGGTTTGGTCACAGGAAAAATCATAGAAATTGGGGTAAAGTCTAGAATTGGTTAGTTGTACTTAATTATTTAGATCTCAAAGATCTGTTTTATAAACTTTCGATTGTTACACATCTTTGCAAACTTAATGATCTGCAGCTAATTTCTCATTACTCAAGCTTAAGCGTGTTTTAAACTTGGTGTACTGCTGGGCACTCGAAATGAGTAATCGACTGTGGACTGTTTTCAAGTTACGCCTTTTGTTGTAAAATAAAAAAAAATACCAAGGATTTCAGTATTTCAGTATAAATAATAATAATAATAATAATAATAATAATAATAATAATAATATATTTATTTATTTATTTATTTAATTATTTATTTTTTATTTATTCATTTTTATATTAATTTATTTATTTAATGATAATTTATGTATTTATTTATCTCTAATGGCTCGGAAATGCTTACTTCCAGAAAATTAAAAATATCAAGGGGTATTTTCCTGGGAGATTCTCTTAGCGCATTGTAATTCTGCGTCTGCTTAAATCCCTTAAGTAAAATGCTGAACGAGACAAAATATGGTTTCTCCCTTGGTAAAAACAATAAAAAATACCATTATAACCATCTATTGTACATGGACGACTTAAAACACTTGAACTTTGAATAGAACTTGTGAAACTTCGCGACCTAACAACAAACTTTAGTAAACCAGTTGCCATGCAATTTGGAAAAAGGTAATTTATCCCAAACCC